AACAACTAACAGATTTATGAAGAAAAATATTGGTGCGGCTTTTGGTTAAGCTATTTTAGCTTAAGTAAACTTCTTCTGACCCTGTTTTTATGGTTTATTATGGTTTAATAGATACTTAAAAGAATGTATCCTGCAACCTCTGTCACATTTGACGCTACAATACCTGAAATCTGACCAATGAATAAACTTATTCATTGACAGTGAAGAGCTCTGATCCTAGTACTGGGCTACAATTCACGGTGCCAGCAAAATGTGAGAAAAAGTAATCACAAATATATCCCATTTTTGAAGAGAAAAGGAGAATATTTTCAGGGGATTCATCAGTGAATAGGTTACTCAAAGTCCTCTCCAATCCCAAACCAGGTTTTCCCAAAAGGATTCATTAGCAAGCTACGATATTTTTCTAATTTAACTAATACTTTCAAAATATGACTTTCACTATTGTACTTAATAGAATACTTTAATCAGTGTATTATAAATTCTGGCCAGAGGTTTGCCGAATATTGGTCTTTGAGGGAAGCAGAAACATATATATTGATATTTAAAATTTATAATTAATACTGAGGTCTACTATGAGCAAACAATTGCATAATAATTTCAATTTTATATATCATATTCTCTAATTGGATTTCGATTAATCAAAGTTGTATTTGCTACGGCAATTGACTTGATAACCTATTTTTCGTTTATGAGTAGGTTTTCAAGACTACTTGTAGATCATATATATCAGGGATATTCACCCTTTTTCGGTTAAGGTGATAAACAAACTAATAGTTAAATTTTACCACAATAATATCAGCAGACCTAAGGTTACCTCAAAAAATAAGTAATCTAGCCTATTGCTGTAGTAACTACAACTTTGCTTCACCGACACTCCAACCACAGAATGTAAAATGGGAAAACGCCTGGCCCTCCTTGAAAGTAACATTTTGCCTGTGACCAAAGGACACTCGTAGCAATGTGACATTATGTTTCATGTGTCGAGATTATACTCTGTGCTGTCTTGGTATAAATCAAGCTGGGGACACTGATAAAGCCTGGACGATGACAAAACTACCATTTACACTTGATGATAATACCTTAAGAGAAATCAAGGCAATGTGAAATTCAATTTAAGTGTAACATCTACTTATATCATTTGGGGAAAATTCAACTACCTGTCCCTCTACAACCTTACACAGTTTATAGTGAACTCACATTAATTATATAATATAATTGTTATTTAACGAATATTCCAACTAGTTGCTTTACTCTAAAATTCTTTTTACATATTTATCGGCACTATTAATTTTTACATTGAGGGTCCTTAAACCCTGAAGCATTGCCCAAATAAAATTGTGTTAGCTAATAAGAGGTCTAGTAAAATCTATTGTGAATAGACTGCAGATGTTCGCCTAAATGATTAGTTAAAATTGTGCACAGAACATAGCCACCTTAATATTTCCTAAATTATTAGAAATCAAGTAACAAATATTTGATTATGTCCTTTCCCAACTGTTCACAGTTCTCGGAATTCGCACAACTTTCAGGCGTTGCAAAAGATGAAAGGTAGAAAATTATCTGCAAAATATATTAGCAGGTAAAGGTATTATTATAATCAATAGGATAAGAAGAAGTAATTTAAGCAAATTTAAAGTATCCACTCACGTAGAAAAAGCAGATTGTTCTCACTATGGTGATTACAATTATGAAGACAAGGAATAGAGATAGATAGCCCAACCTTGTCTTGTCATCATTAAATCCCAGACCCTGCAAAGATGAAACATTCATCCACTGATTGACGACTTCTTGCTCAGGCCTCCAGCCTGAGGGGGACTCTAACTCAAGCTCCAATTCGGCCGGCAATCTGCCAGCTTTCAACAGCTCTACCTGCCTTGTTGCTGCCAGTAAGGCCTGCACACGACTTGTAAACTCTGCCGCCTTCTCCTCTGGAGAGCAACTCCCTTGAAAGCTGCTGTTTTTTCTTCCTGGAACGCTATTCGAACAGTCAAAAATAGATTCGCTATCAATCAGGTCTGTCAAGATTTTGTAACGCTGGTCGGCAAGGTTCGTCCTTATGGCGAGGAGTGGGGTATATCAAAACAGGGATAGAAGTTTTTAAACAGCGGCGTCAGATGTGCCATTTTTAGAGTTCATTAGAGCCTCAGATCAGATGCACTGTATGTGACAAGTGGATTCAGCCATTTTGGCCGACTCGGCGAAATCCATCCATGTGCAAATAGATATGTAAGGCTATTATATGATAAATGCAAGCACTCAGAGACTTGATAGTCTGGTTGGCCGGAAAGATAGAAATAAGAATGCTTTGTTCAAGTAAATGAGGTGTTTTGCCTTGTATTCCGGCAAGAAACAGTCAATTTCCTTTTTTTATTCAAGACTACATTATTGAGGACCTTTGGCTATGATCACTTTTAAAGGTCGTCTATGGTGCCTAAAAATACTGTGAGTAGCACCTTACTTTAACCATGTAGACGCTATATAATAGTTCAGTAATAAGCCAAAATAAGTCGCTTTATAAGAAGGGCTAAGCGACAGGTACATTTAGCTAATACGAAAACTACACTAATAGGAATGTGTGATAGGCTTCTTCGCAAAACTATTGGCTGTAAAAGCCAATACTAAATCACTTAATGACCTTTGAAAAGTGCATGTGTATTAGCGGGGCGAGTAAATGCTACCAATGACCTGCCATCGACATTGCTCCAACCTTCTTATGAGCTTTACAAATGTCTTGGATTTTCAATCTAAACAATCATGACAATTTCAATCCTGCCCACCTATTTTTATTCAAATTTACTTTCATACGACCTCCTGCATGACTCACCATCTAGCCATGTAGATATCTGAGCCGAAACTGATGATGGTGCTGCCAAAGAAGAGCACTAGGGTACACAGTCCTAAAATCCAGCCGCCTCCCAATAAACAGTAATGCAAATAGACCGCAAGGTTATTCTTCGATGGATCTGGGTACCCCAGAATGGAGGTATTGTCCTGTATTTCCTTTGGGGTGATCGGAACACTGCTGTTGATAAAACTGCATTCATTACCCCCAAAAGAAAATTGTCTTTGGTTTTCCAAAGTTGGAAGTATTTCGCTTAGTTCTAGGGTCTGTGAGACCTTCTTGGCTCGCTTTCTCTGACTTCTGGACTCAGGACAATTTAGTTCAGCTTTCTCTGCTTTTGGCGTTTCTGATTTTCCGAATAAGAAATCCTGCTTTACTCCGTGAACAAGAATCGAGTTGGCATTAAAAAAATGTAAACAACATGAGAGAATTGTAAGATTAGCAGTCAATAGTAAGCGGAAATAAAGGAATGGTCTATAAACTCATAGTAAGTAGTAAATTAAAGTAGCCTCTAAGTGAAAGAGATTATTCCTTTATAAATTTTGGACTACGGATTCAATTGAGGTGTAAAACTACACTCAGATATTTAACACGAAAAAATGTATTCATCAGTCTTTTTCATATATGTCTCAGGTGTAAATACACTTAGGAGATTGACAATGCTTTTAATCGGGAGAGGAAAATACTTGAAAGAGTGATAGCTAATCGAATAGAGGTTTAGATTCTGCCAATTAACCCCGTTTTACCGCTTATAACATAAGTTTGGATTAAACCAAGATATATCTTATTTTCATACTCGGATAGGCAACAGCGACCCTAGCAGAATTAACTCTAATACTTATGGGCTAAAACGCGAACACTTCGCCTTACGACCATTGGCCTATTGAAGAGGTGAGATTTATGAGGCAGGATAGGCTCATAAGCATTTCAATCTTCTAAATGAATAGATGCGAAATGACTATGCCGCTAAAATAGCTTAATTAAAGGCATATACACTTGGCCCTTTGCTTCGTATCATGCTTCTTCAGTAAAGGGATTCATAAGTTCGACTCACCAGAAGCTGTAGGGGGGATTATTTTAGAACTGTGACTCTTCACACCAAATGAAGGTACTCGAACAGCAAAATAAGGTTGCAACTGATTAACATATTAAAGTTGTTTGACCTTGTTTTCGCAACTTGATCATATTGGTAGGAAGATTTAGAGTAACGCATCTTGTCCTGAGTCCATTATATGCATAATTATCTCCAAAGTCCGACCGTGGACGTGGTACATTCCCAGACGTTTCGCCAGCATCGTAGTCGGCATCGTCAATGAGTTTAACCATTTGTAGCACCATATTACAACCCGTCAGAGACAAATAACCAAACGTGTGCTAAAGAGTTATGGTATCTCCTCTTCTGCCCTGGCATATCCACATTTCCTACATCCTCCAATCACGCCTTCACTGTCACAATTTTTTACTTGCTTTATAAAATGTGGTAAAATGTGCCCTTTTTTAGCGGCTTTCATGAGAACTCTCCGCAATCCACGCTGGCCTTCTCACCCCATTTCATCCTTGTGCTGGGAGTGTTTATCAGAGTCTGCTAAATTGTTAGACAGTCCTCTTTCCATAATGCTTGCCACAGTCTCTCTCTTGCCCCGTAAGATCCGTCTGCACTCTCCCTGGTTCACATATTTCACTCGACCCCTGCCACCCCATCTGTGCCACCCGAGGCGTTATTGGCCATACCCTGCGTCTGGGTGACTAATTCGAGGCTCAAGCCTCTGAGTAAGTGTCATGGTAACGCCTTTGCCACATGGACCACTGTCAGCCCACTAGCTCCCATCGCAACCGTGTCTATCCTGTTTCTATCTCAAATACCAATTCTATGACTTCCCATGCCCTAGTCTCTTGTGCGCCAACCCACAAACGTTGTGGTTCAACATTGAACCCAACCAAAGCAAAGAGTAACACAACATTTGTGGGTTAGCACACAAGAGACTAGGGCATGTACGTCATAGGCTTGGTATCAGAGATAAAAACAGGATAGGCGCGGCGGCGATAGGAGCTAGTGGCCTGACAGTAGTTTTGTATAAGAGACGTGGTCAATGTGGCAAAGGCGTGACCATGACACATAATTAGAGGCTTGAGCCTCGAATTAGTCACCCAGACGCAGGGTATGGCCAATAACGCCTCGGGTGGCACAGATGGGGTGGCAGGGGTCGAGTGAAATATGTGAACCAGGGAGAGTGCAGACGGATCTTACGGGGCAAGAGAGAGACTGTGGCAAGCATTATGGAAAGAGGACTGTCTAACAATTTAGCAGACTCTGATAAACACACCCAGCACAAGGATGAAGTGGGGTGAGAAGGCCAGTGTGGACTGCGGAGGGTTCTCATGACAGCCGCTTAAAAAAGGGCACACCGTACCACATTTAATTAAGCAAGTAAAAAATTGTGACAGTGAAGGCGTGATTGGAG